TCCTCCTCCTCCTCCTCCTCCTCCTCCTCATCCGCCTCCTCCTCCGCATCCTCCGTATCCTCCCCATGATCACCATCATCATAATCAGCAGCATCATCAGCATCAGCATCAGCATCGTCATCAACATCATCAGCATCATCAGCATCATCATCATCATCAGCAGCATCAGCAGCAACATCATCATCATCATCATCATCAGCATCATCATCATCATCAGCATCATCATCATCATACTCATCAGCATCATAATCAGCATCACCATCATCATCATCATCGACATCAGCATCATCATCATCATCATCATCATCATCGTCATCCTCATCAGCATCATCAACATCATCATCATCATCATCAGCATAAGCATCGTCATCAGCATCATCATCATCAACATCATCGACGCCAGCAGCATCATCAGCAGCAGCAGCATCACCATCACCATCACCTTCACCATCATCATCATCATCAACGTATTGCACGTCTGCAGTATCACCATGGTTCGCCATCATCATCAACAGCATCAGCATCATCAACCTCATCATCATCATCATCAGCATCATCATCAGCATCATCATCATCAGCAGCAGCAGCATTATCATCATCATCATCATCATCATCATCATCAGCATCATCATCATCATCATCATCATCATCATCATCATCATCATCATCATCATCATCATCATCATCATCATCATTATTATCATCGACAATCACATCAACATCATCAACAGCGTCATCATTATCCTCCTCTGCATCCTCATCATCTTCCTTCGCCTCGTCATACGTGTTGTCCTCATCTGCATCCTCCCCCTCATCATCCTCATCATCATCAGCATCAGCATCATCATCATCATCATCATCATCATCATCATCATCATCATCATCATCATCGTCAGCATCATCATCATCAGCAGCAGCAGCAGCATCATCGTCCTCCGTTCGTCAGTTCATGCTCCTCCTCCTCATCCTCCTCCTCTTCCTCCTCTTCCTCCTCCTCGTCCCCCTCCTCCTCTTCCTCCTCCTCCTCCTCCTCCGCCGCCTCCTCCTCCTCCTCATCCTCATCCTTCTCATCCTCCTCCTCCTCCTCATCCTCATCCTCCTCATCTTCCTCCTCCTCCTCATCCTCCTCCTCCTCATCCCCCCCCCCTCCTCCTCCTCCTCCTCCTCCTCCTTCTCCTCCTCTCCTCCACCTCTTTCTCCTCCCGTCCTTCCTCCTCCTCCTCCTCCTCCTCCTCCTCCTCCTCCTCCTCCTCCTCCTCCTGCCGCCTCCTCCTCCTCCTCCTCCGCCTCCTCATCCTCCCCCACCTCCTCATATGCATCCTCCTCATCCTTCTCCTCCCCCCCCCCCTCCGCCCTCTCCTCCCTCCTCCTCCTCCTCCTCCTCCTCCTGCCTCCTCCTCCTCCTCATCATCATCATCATCATCATCATCAATCATCATCCTCCTCTGCCCCTCCTATTCCTCCTATTCCTCCTCCGCTCCGCCTCCCGCCTCCGCCCTCCGCCTCCGCCTCCTCCTCCTCCTCCTCCCTCCTCCTCCCTCCTCCGCCTCCTCTCCTCCTCCTCCTCCTCCTCCTCCTCCTCCTCCCTCCTCCTCCCTCCTACTCCTCCTCCTCCTCCTCCTCCTCCTCCTCCTCCTCCTCCTCCTCCTCTCCTCCTCCTCCTCCTCCTCCTCCTCCTCCTCCTCCTCCTCTCTACTCCTCCTCCTCCCTCCTCCTCCTCCTCCCTCCTCCTCATCCTCCGCCACCTCCCTCCTCCTCCTCCTCCTCCTCCTCCTCCTCCTCCTCCTCTCTCCTCTCCTCCTCCTCCTCCTCTCCTCCCACCGCTCCTCCTCCTCCTCTCCTCCTCCTCCCCTCCTCCTCCTCCTCCTCCTCCTCCTCCTCCCTCCTCCTCCTCTCCTCCTCCTCCTCCTCCTCCTCCTCCTCTCCTCCTCCTCCTCCTCCTCCTCCTCCTCCTCTTCTTTCTTCAGGAGAACAGTGGGGGAGGAACAGCAGGAGGAGGAGCAAGGAGGAGGAGGAGGAGGAGGAGGAGGAGGAGGACGAGGAGGAGGAAGACGCCGAAATGGCGGCAGACCTCTGGCGCGAATCCTCCCCAGGCCGCAGAAGCCCGGATCCTGTCGGAGGCTCCCGCTGACCCCTGAAAAGGCTTCAAGAGAGCCTCCCAGAGGACTCGGGGAGGCCACGGAAGGTCCCTGGGGGCCCCCGGAGGCCTTCGAGGGGCCATAGACTTGCCATCGCTCAGACATCCATTCCCCGTGTATGTTTCCGCTTCGTACGCTTGTTTTTCGCAAGATGATCCTGGATGGTCCTCGATGGTCCTCGCCGAGGAGAACTGCTCACGTCCGAGCGATGCCAAGTCGAGTGCCTCGGGTGCTATACCGAATGCCAAAGCTTGTTCTGGGGAACGTCTATGAGGGGGCGGGAGAAGAAAGTGCCTCTGGAGGCCTCCCCTGGGTCCTCAGAAGCCTCCCGAGGCCTCTGGAGGCCCACGACAAGCCCAAGAGCGCGCAGATACCCAGGGTAGAGTCGTTCAAAGGCGCACCGATTTCTGTTGTCCTTCGACTCGCGATGGAAAATCCGCGATGTGTTCCGGGCCTGGCTGGATTTACGCGATGTGTCTGGACTTACCCCGACAGACCTCGCCCACTAGTCGATTACAGGAGAGTCATCGAGCCCGCAAGGCTTTGGGGCGGAAGGGGGATAACTCCTTGCAGCTGCCCTTCTGCGCATCCTCCCTGTAGTAGCAGAGGCAAAGCAGCTTCGCCTCGCGGAGTGGGGAGGCGCCTGCTCCATCTCCTCCGTCCTCCTCCTCCTCCTCCTCCTCCTCCTCGTGTCCCTCGTCGTCCCCATCTCTCTCAGAATCGCCCCCCAGACCACTCGGAGGGCGCATCGAAGCCACATCCAACAAGAAATAGCTCAAGTCAAGCATGATATCGTCGCTCTCGCTTGATCTACATCAGTCGGCTCGTAACCGTCGATGCATAGTGCAGTCCCATACGTACTCGCGTTACCATAAGTTCCCTCCGACGTTCAGCGACACGATACGCTCCAAAGGTGATACAGCCCGAGGATCGCGACACACACGGCTGGCTGGTTCAGCATTCCGAAGACACACCATACGCATCACTGAGCTGCTTGCGGAAAGGAAGGACACCTTCGCACTCGGCGACCACATGTCGCACTGAGGGCCGAAAAGCACCACCACACACAGGCTAATAGGGTACATCCTGCGCCTCGCTCTTCGACCCTGTGGTGTGTGAGTTCACAGCAACACAAAGAAATAGCATCACCTGCTGCCACTGCTCTGTGGACAGTCTCGCGATACTTTCTCCATGGCTTCGCCGAGAGAGCCTCGACGTCCACGTCCAGCACTCCCACGTAGTCATTTCGTGTGTGGCTCGCCTTCCGAAGTGCATGTACACGACAGACAGCACGCAACACATGGAGTGGGAGCTCATCCTCATCACTCCCATAACCACGACGACCCTCAAAGATCTTCTGCATTCGACCATCACATTAATTGGGGTCCTGTTCGAAACGTACCCCGCGTTCAGGACAAAAACATGTGAAGACCAGGCCCACGTGCTTGAAGAGGTCCCTGCTGTTGTTCTCCGTCCAAAGGTTCATCTCGAGGTCCCAGTCCGTCAAGCGCTGGATGCTCGTCATGAGGCTCGAGTACAAGGGGTGGTGACCGATGTGCAGCGCCCAGAGTCTGCCTCTGCACCACCACGTACAACGCGTGCGTAAAATGGCAGACATCAACTTGGAAGCCATGTCCGTCGGAGGGGCCACGAAGACTGGCGTGCACCAAAGCCAGAGCGGCTTGACGTAAGCCTCCACAGCCCTCAACCTCGTCTTCGAGCTGCCAGGAATGCTCCGTAGAGTTTCGATGGCAGCGTACAACTTCTTCCACCTTCCAGCGGGTGTGGTAGGTATGGCCGGGTTGTCGGGCGCGGCCTCGATCCCTATGTGCTCGATCTTCTTCTGCTCTCCGAGGTGCCACTCCTGTCGCTTGGAGCGGTTCTCCACCGCGCCCGTCTCTTGATCAAAGACATCTGTCTTGAGAGGATCATCAATCAATTGCCGATCCGATTGCGTCGCAAGGGTCGATCATCCATGAAAAGGAGCAGCTCACCCTCGATTTCCCAAGGCGCCAGCACAGAGCAGGACCCTGGGAGCGCACGAATCTCAGTGCGCCAGCCCCTCTGTGGGGCCAGGCGCACTCGGCCGCGAGCTCGGCCGAGACCTGACACGTGCGAGGGCCACTCCAGCCCGCATAGGCCACCGCCACCAAGTCGGCAGGCCGTTTTTTTTAAGCTCCGCGCTCTGTCCGCCACGTTTAGCGAGGCACCCTACGGCGGGCTAGGGCGCCAGCAACCAAGTCGGCAGGCACTCCAGCAGCACGCAACGATACGATTGCCACTTCATAAGGCACTTGGTCGTAGCACTTGGGCAGGTCGCGCTCCATGCCTGCTTGCGCCGATGCACGAACTCGCAAGAAACTGCATACAGCATGACAAACGGAGGTATTCGCCTTGCATGCCCATTGAGCTTCCTGTGGGGTGGGAAAGGCACGCTCACATTCCGTGAGCCAGCTCCTGAGGAGGACGCTGGCTACCCCGATCGGTCTCGAGGCCTCGCACTTCTTCGGAACCCCGACCACTCTCCAAGAAAAGAGCAATTCCTGCAGCTCACGAACCTGCTGAGGGCAATCCGCCAGCCTCGTCATGCTCTGCGTCCCCAGGCAGCGAGTCGTGGCCACCCGGAGGTCGTACAGCTCACGCGTCAGGAAAGGGAAGGTGCTGGCCGCCACCTTCAGCTCACGGGCGGTCCAGCCTTCGTAGCCGGCGCTGCGCTTGCCTCGAGAACTTGCCTTGACGAAGTTGGCGTAGGTCGGCAGCCAACCATCCGCCACCGTCCTCTGAGGCAGTGGGTGCCTCGTACTCTGCGCATGTCGTCGCCAAGCCTCTCCGCAGGCAGCACCATCGTAGCCAGTAGACGCGGGCGGACACCATATCGTAGACCACTCCTTGGCCATGTCATTGGCCGTGAAGGTAGGGCAAGCAGTCGCCTCACGCACAACTGAGGACGCAGCTCCCCGAAGCCCAGAAAGGCTCCACAGACCTCCTCGTTTCCCCCTCCCCCAAGGGCCAGCGGCACGGCGCCCGAGGCCTCCTGAGCGGTAGAGGCGGAGCCGCCTTCGGCCTGCCGCGGCGCCGCCTTGGGCCTTGCTCGACGTGCGTGCAATGCGTCCTGGGGCCGCTAGCGCGCGGCCAGTTGGGCTCAAGCGCGGGGAGCGCTGAGCATCCGAGGCCACATCCCGCTCTGGCTGAGCTCTGGGACACGCAGAGCAGCAGAAGCACCTCCATGTATGCCGCCCGTCCTGGGGCCCGTGCTCGGCTCGCCTGGCGGGGAGGGGGCTGGAGGGGGCGGGCTGCGAGCGCGAGACGTCTCGAGAAGCGGAAGCGGGGCAGCCCCGCCTCGAGGAAGCGCAGCGTCGAACAAGAACTCCTCCCAGTCTAACTCTATCGCCGAACGGCCGTGCCGTGGCGAAACGTGAGCTGGACCGCCATAGGGGAAGTGAGTGCCTCTCTCTCTCTCTCTCCCCCCTCTCTCTCTCTCTCTCTTTTTGTTCTCTCTCTCTCTCTCTCTCTCTCTCTTTCCCATCTCTTTCTCTCTCTCTCTCTCTCTCTCTTTTCAATATCTCTCTCCCTCTCTCTCTCTCTCTCTCGCTGTCTCTCTCTATATACATATATATGTATGTACATGTGTGTGGGTTGGCGTGCAGCATGCGATAGAAATGGCAGGCTGGCACAGTGCACTTGAGAGAAGCACGCGTGCCGTCTGTAGCCCCGCCTCGAGGAGGACTGGGGAGCGGGTGCGCCGACGAGGGAGAGGGGCAGGAAGAGGAATGTCGGCGCATCGAGGCTCGAGGCTTCGACGCCGGCAAAGGGGGGGGGCGTGTTGGAAGAGAAGGCGAGGGCTATGAAACCAGGGAGGTCGTCGTCCTGACCATGATAAACCTGCCCGCCCTGCTTCTGACTCATCATCATCAGCATCATCAGCATCAACATCATCATCAGCATCATCGTCATCATCAGAATCGTCATCTTCATGATCATCAGCAACATAATCCTCATCAAAAACACCCTCATCATAATCAGCAACAGCATCATCTTCATCATCATCCTTTTCAGCATCATCATATTCTTCAGTACCAGCATCATCATCATTAGCAGCATCTGTATCATCATCGTCATCATCAGCAACATCGTCATCATCAGCAGCAGTATCATCATCACCGTCATCAGCAGCGTCAGCATGATCATCATCAGCATGATCATCATCATCATCATCATCATCATCATCATCATCATCATCATCATCATCATCATCATCATCATCATCATCATCATCATCATCATCATCATCATCATCATCAGCAACATCAGCATCATCATCATCATCATCGACAGCAGCATCATCAGCATCCGCATCATCACAATCAGCATACTCACCATCATCATGAGTATAATCAGCATCATCAGCATCAGCATCATCATCATCGTCAGCGTCGTCGTCATCACCATCATTCACGTCCAGATTATCCCTGTCAGCGTCACAATCGTCATCATCAACCTCAGCATCAGCATCATCATCATCATCATCATCATCATCATCTTCAGCACCATCAGCACGATCAGCATCATCATCATCATCAGCATCATCATCATCATCATCATCATCATCATCATCATCATCATCATCATAATCGGCATCATCATCCTCACCATACTCATCAGCATCATCATCTTCCTAGCCATTTGGGCTCAAGCTAGTTCTTTCCATAAGCTGTCTTCAGTCGCGCGCATCTCGGGTCACACGGGATGGCGGCGCGAGAAGAGGGAGGAACTCGGGGCTACGGGGTGCTGCCCGATCCGCCCATGGCGGTACGGCCCAGCGCCCTTCGGCCCGCTGAGACCACGCTGCTTGGCCCGACGGCGGCGCGGCGCCAGGCGCGGCGGCGGCGATTGCAGTCCGCTGTGGACGCGGTCCGTGGCCGGGCCGCGCGTCGCGAGTCCAGCCTGGCTCGTGGCGCGATCGCGAGGCAGCCGCTCGGCCAGCGCTGCGTCTCGCCGTGGACGGGCGGCGCGTCCCTGGCAGCAGCCGCCAGCGGCCCAGTGCGGCCCTGCACGCCAGGCGGGTGGCCCAGGGAGGCGTTGCTGGCGCCTGCTGGGCGGCCCTGGCTTGGGCGGCTGCTGGCCCGCGTCTGAGAGCGGCGACAGGGTCGCCAGACGGGCCAAGGGGGTGGGAACTTAGCTGGCCATCGCTCGGACGTCCAGTCCCTGTGCTTTTTTCGGTTTCGTGCGTGTTTTTTTCGCAGGGTGATCCAGGATGCTCCTTAAGAATCCCCGCCGAGAAAAAGTGCACACGTCCAAACGATACCAAGTCAGTTGAGCCGCCGCTGGCCCCCGCCGAGCGGCAGGGCGCACTGCTGGACTCGTTGCCCGAGGCGATTGCGGCGCGTGCAGTCGGCATGCTTGCCCTGCCCGATAGGCTGCAGATGCGTCAGGTGTCAGGCGGAGCCGGTTGGACTCTCGCGTGGAGCCGCCTCGAGCTCGCGGTGGCGCTAGAGGAGGAGCTACGTACCATGGAGCAGCTGCAGCGGCTTGCCGATGCTAGGCCGCGCAAGGTCGTGACCTTCGGCGGCGAGGTGCGCGAATTAATCGTCTCCGTCGCGGTCCCGGACCCCGATGCGCTGTCCGAGGACACGGGCGCGTCCCAGCTGGCCATGCTGAGGGATGAGCTGCACCATGCCGCGTCGGACTGCACCCGGCACAGGTCGATGGTCGCAAAGCAGGCTCAAGACATCCGCTCGCTGCAGGAAGGCTAGGCTGCCGCGGAGCACGCGCTGACGGCACAGCTCGCCTCGCGCTGGGAGCAGCTGCAGGTGCACGTCGCGCGGAGCACGGGCGAGGCGGCCGACCTGGTGCCTGCGGCCGTGAGCGAGCACTACGACCAACCATCCGTCGGCTCACTCTCGCCCCTCGTGGTTCAGGATGGAGGAGGAGAGGAGCTTGAGGGCGACATGGTGGCTGTGGTTCCCGAGGGAGCCACGGCGCCTGGCGTTCACGTTGACGAGATCGAGTGGGACGACCTGCAGGCGATCATCAAGCAGGACTGTGCAGCGGAGGGGAGGCTCAGTCCTCCGCGGCGCTGGCCCAGCTGCTGCAGGTGACACCACCACCCCTGCAGGACCAGACGGCGACGGGTTCGGCGGCGGCGGCGACCGAGCAGTTCCCTACGGAGGCGATGGCAGCGGCACAGGCTTCCTGCCTGCGGGCGAGCTTCTTTAGGCGGCGGCCGCCTCGCGGATGGCCCTCGCAGCGGCCAGCCTCCTCCTCGGGGTTCCACTCGAAGCGCCCCAGGCCTTAGAAGCAGGCCTATCCGTCGAGTGCGGTGTCATTCGGGTGGGAAGGGACCCTGAGGTGTAGGCGCAGCCCCTGGCGGGCTCCGCACACTCGTGGGTTCCCTTCCCGCCGCCTCTGCTCGTGGCACCAGGCTGGTCCGAGGATCACGTCTGCCTGCGACGAGTGTGCATGCCCTCGGAGGGGGGACCGTGGCGTAGGCTGTGCCCTGCGGGGCTCGGCGCACGCCAGGGTTCGCTCCCTCCCACCCCTCTTGGGCTCGCGCCGTCCTGTGCTGTGCCTTTGCTCGTGGCGCCAGGCAGGCCTAAGGAACAAGAATGCCTGCAACGAGCGAGCGTGCCCGTGCCGCCGCCGCTCGCAGGGCTGCAGTGTGTCAGCTGTGTACCAACCCCGTTCGCCGCTGCTGGACTGGTGCTCGCGCCTTGTGCCGCCGTCCGTGAGGCCGAGTCGCCGTGGCTGCTACGATGGCGCGACTTCCGCTGGCTGCGGCTGAGGCGGTAGGCGCCCTCGTGGCACGCAGGTGAGTATGCGAGCGACCTTTAGGGCAGGAAGCCGAGCATGGCCGCCGCAGGGCCAGAGGGAGGTGCGTCGGTCCGAGGGGCAGTATGAGCTAAAAGCTCCTGACCTCTTCAGACGCGTGGATCGTCATCTGCATCATCATCAGCAGCAGCATCGTCATCGCCATCAGCATCGTCATCATCATCAGCATCGTCATCATCCTAATAGCCACAACCATCATCATCATCATCATCATCATCATCATCATCATCATCATCATCATCAGCAGCATCAGCATCAGCATCGGCATCGGCATCAGCATCATCAGCATCGTCATCATCATCATCATCATCATCAGCAGCAGCATCATCATCATCATCATCATCATCATCATCATCATCATCATCATCATCATCATCATCATCATCATCATCATCATCATCATCATCAGCATCAGCATCAGCATCAGCATCAGCATCATCATCATCATCATCATCATCATCATCATGATCATGATCACCATCATCATCATCATCATCAGCATCATCATCATCACCATCACCATCACCATCAACAGCAACATCAACATAAACATCCTCATCAGCAGCATCAGCGTCATCAGCATCATCAGCATCATCATCAGCAGCAACAGCCATGTCACATTCAACCGCCATGTTATTAACATCAGCAGCAGCAGCATCCTCACCAGCATCATCATCATCATCATCATCATCATCATCATCATCATCATCATCATCATCATAATCAGCATCATCATCAGCGGCATCAGCATCACCACCACCACCATTATGATCGTCATCGGCATCGTCGTCATCATCGTCATCATCAGCAACATCATGATAAGCATCATCAACAGCATCATCAGCATCATCGTCATCATTATCAGCATCCTTACCAGCATCAGATTAACCAAAATCATCAGCCTCAGTTGCATCATCATCATCATCAGCATCATCATCGTCATCGTCATCATCATCATCATCATCATCATCACCACCATCATCATCATCATCATCATCATCGTCATCGTCATCATCA